ACCGCGCGGGAATGGCAGCAATGCGCCCGCAAAGCTCGCCGGGCATTGTTCATTCATTCGGTTCGGGTGTCCCGCGTCGTTTTCGCGCTCGGTGCCGCGCCGAGCCCCGGAATCTGGGCCAGTTCCTGCTGGCCGGCGTCCGATAAACACGCAAAGAAACCGCAACACGTGCCACGCGACGCACGTACACACCGGCGGGCGACTTAATTAAGCCGCATTCCCGCCGCTCCGATTGCGCAAAATTCTGCCTCGGCGATACGATCGGCCGACGCTCGCCGATTTAACGGCAGCGCGTCAGAAACGCGTTTTTCGCGGGCCGTGTAGCGCGCGGATGGAATTCGACTGTCAACCGCCGGGCCCCGAATAATCGGGGACCACCTCTCTCTCTGTCGCGGGCCGTGCTCGAGATTATATTATCTTTGTTATTTATTGCCGGCGGCCGGTGAAATCCTTCGGTATCTATGATCTGCGCGACTGGTTGACATAATGGGCCGAGGCGGAGTTCATTAGCGGCCGTGTTTGCGGCGAGTTAATTCGGGTAGTGAATTCCTGGCTGCTGTTAACACGTTCGCTGTCACAACGTCGTTCGCTTTGACACCCGCTGCGGGACTGTTCTGTCTTTCGAGAGATATATTTGCGTTCGGGGATTCTTATTTTCTGCTTCACGGTGAATAGATCTATGCGAAGCGAACGTAACCCTTTTCACTCTGTCGCCGTTTGATTTGCAAAACTATAACATCTGATATTTAACACGTTAAGCGCTACGGAAATCTTAAGCGTTTACCCATAGAATTTGTCTCTTGTAGCAAAGAAAAGTAGGAATAATTATGAATTGTTTGGCGTTGCAGCGTTTGCGTTACACTATTATCAACTTAGTTACCTTATTAAACATTTTTACTTCACATCGGTTGTCTTGTATGTTACGATTGTCTTTCAGTCATTCAGAAGCGTCAGTCACCAGTGACTGACATGGCGCTTAACGTGTTAATGTTGTTTGTATAATGCCTTGGTGCGTGAAATATTGGAATAAAATTGCTTTGTTCTTATACCTGTGATTTTCCTTCGAGATGGTTTCAATATCGCCTTCGGCTCGTGGAAAAATGTGAAACATTTCTAATGGGAAACTTCCGAGTGCAAAGGGTTAACCAAGTCGACTACTCAGATACAATCTTCTTCGGTATAATAAAGTATTCGATGTTTATCTTCCAAGTTTCTCGAAATTCTTCATGAGAAAACTCTACTCGACAACTGTTTTCTAAATTCCTTCCAGAATCCACTGCAAACCACATGCACCAATAAACATTCACAAAGCTCAAAGGAACTCAACAAGCTAGCAAATTCCTCTAATCTCAAGCATAAACCGCGTTCTAAAAGTAGAATCAGTGATTCAGTGCCAGACACTTGACCGCACACTCGAGTCGTCGCTGCTGCCAGAAAGTCAAACCTCGACAATTCAACGACTTCGTTAATTAGTTGGTGCTTGAGTGGTTCAAGATTTTGTACTTCCGGAATAAAATTATTATACCTTTTTATTTATAATGCTAAGAATATAAATTTCCGTACGTTAAATAATTCTAGATACTACATATATATATAAAAATACTGATATAGGGCGGTGTCCTTAGTGACAAATCAGAAGGTTAGAACGCTCGGGCTGTTGCTAATTACAGTTTTTTAACCTACGCCCGCATTACTTGTAGTGGAGGTAGGGGATACGTCGTCCCTTCTGACCTGCAAAGGTACCGGTGGCTGTGCGCTCGAGATTTAGGTGGTTGAGCTGCCGTTTCTTTATGATACGTTAGCTAAAAATTGCAGCTAGCAATAAATGCTTCCAAAATTTACTTATTACTGTGTTCAGACACGACAGCTGTGTCCCAACGAAATAAACCGTGCCGGAACAGGAATCCTCCGGGATCGATGTTCATTCAAGATGTCCTGGCGCCGTTCGTTCGCGAAAAGTCCACATACCTCCGCTGAATCTTCGTCCCGTTTGATTTGCAACGGTTGGTATGCAGGCAAGGTGTGAGCATTCTACTGGTCGCTTTTATTCGCGCGCTGCGCCGTCTAATTGCTTACACGTTGGGCCGCGCATCGATGCACGTGGGCGAGACACCGAGGGGGCGCGCGCATTGCTGCGCAGCCACGCTGTCCTTTCAGAGATTCTGACGAGGAGCCCCCGGAATCTGATGCTCGCAGCGAGGGCCGCTCGTTCTTCACATTTCGCGGCTCGAAATTTATCGAGTTTGACACCGACACCTGGCTACCGTGAACGATACCGTCGCCGATGATCGATTAGAGGCTTCCGGTTGGAAAACTCTCGGTGGGATCTTCGGCAACTCGATGCGTGATAATCCTACGAATTTATATTTATAATTGACCCACTCGGAAGTTACCGATTAGAAACATTTAACATTTTTCGACGAGACGAAGATGATATTTGAAACTAAATCGAAGGGTACTTAGAAATTGAAGAACGAAGCTGTTTTATTTGAATACTTCATGTTTCGAGAGATTATACAAAGTTCAACGTTAAATATTAAAGTTTATAGTTTTGTGTCAGTTCGGTTAATTAACCCTAAATTAATTCGGTTAATTAACCTAAAATTTACGGAATATTATAGAGAGTGAAATCGAAGGTGAGTCGATTGAATGATCTAGCTATTGTTATTCTCATTCCTGTCTAATCAATTTCACTTCTAGATAAAGTCGTTCGTAGCGTTCATCGTTATCAAATGATAGATTGAAATGTATTCGATCTCGAGGTTTCCAGTCGGAGAAACGAAAGTGGTTGGAATAGGAGGTTTTAATTGCGAACGACTTTAATGAACGATCAAATACGACGCCGCGGCGTATGAATAATAAACGCGAGGTGTAAGAGTACTCGCTGCGCTAGGAAACGAACATTACGAGACGATATTTCCCCGATAAACGAGTAGCAGGCAGGCAGGAAGTCTACGATAGGCATTAGGGAGCAAGTCTCGGCGATCGGAATGTCGGAAGACGTAGAGAGGAAGACGGCGAACACGCGGCGCGCGCGTGTAAAGTCTGGATACAGGAATCTTAATTAACATGTCTTTGCATATTAATCTGTTTCGGGCGGGCAGGACATTCAGAGGAATATGAAAGAATCGGTAAAGCGATCGATAATCACGTATTAATTATTCTGTCTAACGACCGCGGCTGAGTTCGTTAGAGATTTAATGGCTCGCTGATACATGGGTTATTCGAACGGTCAAAGACTTTAATAGTGGCGACTGGAATTTCGAAGATTAGTGGAACTCTGCGTCTGTCGATCGAAAAGCTATTGCAACCTGAAAATTCATAAATATATCAAAACTTCCTTTATAACATTCAATCTAAATCTGTAATTCCAGATCGATCTAATACTGAAATTTCAAGCTCATACTATCATCGAAAAGTTGCCAATTAATAGTGGCGACTGGAATTTGAATATTAGTGGAACTCCGCATCTGTCAATCGAAAATTCATAAATATATCGAAACTTCCTTTATAACATTCAATCTAAATCTCTAATCCCAGATCGATCTAATACTAAAATTCCAAGTTCATACTATCATCGAAAAATCTACACTATTAGAAGCACAATAATTCTCCCAAGTGTTCAACTAAAAGAAACACTTTAGATAGTTTGTTTTCTACAAAGAAATCTCGAGAGCACAGCTACCTGATGCGATTTTTCTGGAATCTCTGTCTTCGATCCATTGCTCTTCGTACCAAAGCAAACGAACGCAATTTGAAAACTGACGAAACTCTGGCCGCATTCCAGACTGGTAGATCCCAGAAGGCAGCGAGAAACCGTGGGACGCGTCGAGCCGGGCATCACCCAGCTAGCGCACGTCTCCTCAATTTTGGGGCGTATCCGCGGCGGCTGTTGATTACTCTCTAATCAGCGTGATTAACGTTCCCTGAGCGCGGGCTTGGCTCGCAATTACTCTCCCTTTCGCGTGTAACTTATTTAGAGGAATTTCATTAGCCGTGGAGCTTCCGGCTTGGTTTTAATTAATCGCCCCGATTGTCCGGGGGCCTTTTCAACGACCCTAACCACGCGCGCGCGCGCGAGGGATCGAATTGATGTGGGAAGGATGGGGCGAATTGCCTTCTCGCGTGTTTACAAGCTCAATCTTCTTAGATTTGTTTGGCCAACGTGCCCGGCGAGTTATGATGTGATCGTACGAACGCTGATGTACTGTGTCAATAAAGACGACGCTGTGTTCGTGGACGCTTCGGGCTGTTTTGCAATGCAACACGATCTCTGCGGCGCGCGCGCGCGCGAGGGCATGCAGATTTATCGGCATCGCGGAAAGTATGAGGAAGTTTGCTGCGGTTTCCAGTTTATTTTCGGCTCGCTGGGAGACTGCGAAACGCGCAATATTTTACGCGTATAATGGTAATTAATGGACTGCGGGTTCTTACGCGTTCAGGGAAATTTGGAGGTGCAACGTTGCATAGAATGCATGCGAAAAAATGTATGAAATATAACATTTGCTAGGGAATACCATTTTCTATTAGAATTCTTACTAATATTCTTGGAAATTTGAATTGGCATCCGTAGTAATTAATTAGCATTTTCGAGTGACAGGTGACACTTCGCTTTTAGTTAGAATATATTAACACGTTGACCGCCATGAGAATTTAGAGCGTTTCGTATAATATTACTTATCGTATTACAAAGGCAAATGGTAGATTTAGTTATTAATGATTTGGTATCATAGTTTTTAAGTTACATTGTATATCAAATTTTACAGTTTTACTACGTGAAATCAAGTGACTGAGAGTCACCTCTCGAGTTCAAACGGTTAAAAATGAAGAATAGATTTCACTTGTCATCGACGTAAAGTTAAATATGATTCGAATCGATGTTACTAGATCGACAAGATTTATGTAATCGTATAAGGGTTTATTTTACGGAGAGATTTCGTGCGCTCGGAGTGATCGACGGATCGGCGAAGCTAAATGAAAGGACTTTGTTTCTGCTGCAGGGGAACGAATCCGTGGTACCGGAAGGCTGGCCTCTGACGTTAGGCAGACGTGGCCTCATCCTGCAACTAGGAGAGCTAGAAGCCTCCGCACTACGTCTCGGGGAATGTTACCTCTGCATACGCAGCGCAGCTGCAGTTGCAACCACCTCGGGGAGCGGCGAAGCGGCCGCTGGTGAAACCGTCGAGCGGAATACCGTCGAGGTGAGTCACGTTCCTTTGTCAATTTTTTTTCTATTTTCTTCATTTCGATTCGCCGCCTGTAGTCTCTAGGCTTCTGGAGAACAACTTTTCTCTGTCGCGACTATCATTCCTAAAGTGCCTCGTCATTTTTCCCGTTGAAACCTTACTACGTTCATCCTACTAGAAAATCGCAAAGAAAGAACCGAAGTTTAGTAAACATTCGCGTGAATAATAAATTTCCTGAAACCATAACGTGAAACATGAATAACCATGATTGTCTCGTGACTGTCAACGCTTCCGTCTCCCATAGACCAAACTAGAATTATTCATCGCCGTCATCTCAGAATAATTCCAGCTGACAAACTCCAAGAATTGTTCATTCTTTGATAAGAACCTAGACTAATATCCTAACCTATAAACCATCTCTAACTCGAACCCATAAAATTCCAATATTCCCTTCATTCACCCTTTAACCCGTTGGCATACCGTTTAACCTACAAAATCCGGGAATTACAACGACCGCTCACTCGCGTTGCCTCGACACGTGATATTTACGTGAGAAATTATAATCGCAAGTGAAGCTGGTTAAAGTGCGAGGGGTTAACGTTCGGGAACTGATCAACAGATCGCAGTAGTTTGGAGAACGACGTCGATGAGGGCCCCAGGGTTCCTCGGTTGGGACCGCGAGGAGGAGTTCATGGACTGGCGGGAGGTGTCTCGCAAAGGGCAAGGCAGTTCAGCCGGCGGTGGCGGCGGCGCAGGCATACCCGGACCCCAATCCTCGAGCACCGCGAAAGGCACGCGTCCGCGCCGGAGGTCGCGCGAGGAGACGCGCTCGAGGACCCGCGAGCTGCTATCGGCCGAGCATCGCCGCGACGAGACCCGCTCGATCGACAGGTTGGAGTGCAAGAGCTCGAATGAGAGCCGCGCGATCGACGGTGACGCGGAGGCGGGTCACGCGGTGATGAAGTCCAGGTCGACGTCGAGCGTGAACACGTGGAAGCCGGAGCTGAGCGAGGACTCGGACGCGGCGGAGACCCGGTTCGGCCCGAACAGCAACAACAACAACACGTCTAGTCTGTCCAGCGACGAGAACCGCGCCAGGGTGAAGAGGTGCGCGAAGGTTGTCTCGTCCTCGACGATGGAGAAGTGGAAGGAGACGGCCAGGTGCGAGACCAGGAGCAAGGCCCTGGTGCCCGAGGACCTGAAGACGCCCCTGAGACTGGACAAGGCGGTCCTCGAGCAGAAGAAGAAAGGGCACGCCGCCAACGACGCGGAGGATAGACTGCACAACACGAGGAACATCGACGACGTCACCGACGACGATCTGCCGGCCTTCATCGGGAACCTGTTGATCTCCGTCGAGAGGAAAATCGAGAGGGTCTCCCTCGACGACCTGACGTTCCCCTGTCCAGCCTGCAGGAACATAGACACCGACGATCCTCTGCTGGGCTGCAGGTGCGCCGGAAACAGTTGCGGCTGCGGCACCGGCGAGGACTCCTGCGACTGTGCCTCGTCCTCGAAGAGGAAGGAACAGTCGGCGAGGAGTTTCGAGGTGGCTGGGATTAAGCATATTGACAGCGACGACGAAGAGGAGGTGCGGATGGGATTCGGTGAGTGATTCTCTTTTATGTGTGTATTTCGAGTGGGTATTCTTAACGGAACTACCGAGGATTTAATCATTCTAATAGATTATTTTCGGTTCCTTCAGATATTCATTATAGTATTCAAGTCGAAGCTACTTGTTTTCAAGATCATTTCGAGTATTCTTTTAAGATATCAATAATTGCGAAACAATCGAAATCAGTCATTTTGACTGGTAGTTCTACTGTTAAGTACAAGGATTCTTTCGTGACAGTATTTCGTTTAATCATCTCCCCTATTGGGTACTTGGAACTAGCGTTACAAGGAACCACGTTCTCGAGTAGGTCACGTGAGATCCACGTTAACGTCTGAATCTTTAACTCCACACGCGATTGAAAAGAATTACAGACTTCAACGTCTATATAGCAGTCTTTGATTTATCGAAGCAAGTAAGATTTTTTCCGATGTTTCAATGAAACCATCTCCAGAATCTGATCGCGCCGCGTTGACCTCTCGATCGGCGGTTCAGAGAACCGAGCTCCGCCCACGTCGCAACCGTCCCGAACAACTTCATACGCCGGACATGATTTACCGAAGCCCTCGATGAACTTGAAATTCTGTCGGAAGCGTCGCGTGGGCGCGCCGCCGCAGTAAAGCGGCTACTTCGCGCCGCGTCCGCCATCTTGGCGCCCCCTGGTAAAGAGCCGTGACCGACGACGTGACTTTCCAGGAACGCGTCGCGACTCGATTGTGCGCTTGAAACCGACGTCCCTTCGTGCATCTCGCTTCTCGACCGTCAGAACCGTACGATACCTCGTACGGATCGATACATCACGCGTCCCGGCCGCGACATTTGCATTTCGAGAGTTCGCGTTTAATTAAAGAGCCGGCCGGCGCGGCACGTGCGCGCAGCCGGAATCCCGACAGCCGCCGCGAGACTGTTTTCACACTCGAGCGATTTAGAGCCGCGGCGAGGCGGTATTAATCTCGAGCGCGGTTTGTTTTCCCGTCGACCATAGCGCGCCGCGCCGACTGGCTCGGTTTTCAATTTTGATCCGGCCGCGTCGTGACGCCGGGCTTTTTGCGGTCATTATTCAATTTGCGCCGGCTCAGATTAATTGGGCCGCTGACAGGCTGCCCGGGATATGATTAGTGGAGCCCGGACGTTTGCGCAAACGTAGAATGCTGTTCAACGTTCCGCGGAGGCCGAACGGACATTTATTTCCTTCGACGATGGGATAATTTATTTTAGACCGCCCACCGGCAGATTTGTTACAGTTTCTGTTTCGAGTTTACATTTATTTCTCCCGTCGACGCGCGGCAACCGTAAACGTCGGAACGCTCAGGAATAAATAGAGATACCTATCGCGAAAGTTTGCGCAAACGTGCATCCGTCGCGGGGGCAACACGGTAAACTGCGAATTCGCTAGGGGAATAATGAAATTCGCATTATTAAGATCACGTTCCAGTTTACTATCGTAACGGGTTTCTATGTCTCGCCGCAATAACGCCGAGAGAACGTTTCCATCCGTTGAATAGCTCGTCCCAGTCACGAGACGTGGATTTTTGCGCGCGCCGCGCCGGTTCGACTCAAACCGGGAGATGAATAAAAGGGTCGTTTGTTAAGGCGAATCCCAGTCGGGTCGCGGGCCTCTCCGTGACTCGGCCGATCTCTTTTCGCGTCCTCCCACGCTCGTCTTCCGGCGGTCTTTGGTGCCGCCGCCGACAGGTTTGCAGAGCGAGCCGAGAGATCCCGGGACGAAAACGCTCGCCACCCACTCGCGCGGCATGTCATTAGCGGTGTGTTTGCGGCAACGTAACAGTGACTTATGGTATTTGTCTCCTCTTGTACACGGTTACGTAATACGGATCTCCGGGGCTGGTTTAGTGTCGTCGCGTAGGTGAACGGGAACCATTCGCCGGCGGACCTTTCCCGTTTCGCCGCGCGCTGGAATGAGCCGGCACCCTGAAAGGGATGCCTGGCGTGCCTCGGATTCGGTGCAATTCGCTTGGCCGACTTTCTTCGGGAAAAATCGACGAGGAAATTCATCTTGATCCGCTGGACTTCTGAATCCAGTTTAGAGATAGGAGGTAGATAGCTTTAATCTATCGCGATAACACGTCGAACTTGTTATTTAGAACTCGAACAGTGACTAATGAACAGAATCGTGTTTATACTATTCATTTTCGAAGGTTTTATTTGAAATGTCGCTATTTGTCGCTCAGAAGCCAAGTAGAGGAAATAAAGATTGAGAAGATTTTGAAACTTTTGAAATTGTTATGGATATATTCGGAAGCTATGAAAATCTTTGAATAACTGGAAAGAGTATTATTTATTAAAATTGACAGGAATCGGAGAATATGGGAAAATCGATATTTATTTAGAACTCGAATAGTGACTAATGAACAGAATCGTGTTGATACTATATTCATTTTCGAAGCTTTCATTTGAAATTGTTATGGATATATTCGGAAGATATATAAATCTTCGAATAACTGGAAAGAATATTATTTATTCCGTTAAAATTGACAGGAGTCAGAGAATATGGAATAATCGATTGAACTGCATCGACGTCTAAGCGATCTATTTCTGAATGATCGATATTCAAGCTTCAGACTTACTGGTGATTTATAATTTATAGGTTTCTTGGGACAGATCTCCTTTCGAAGTTAATAGTCGCTTGCGAGTGAAAGTTTCTTAGACGTTGCTTCTTGTATTAGAAAAAAGAGATGTTACAAGGTAAACGACTATAGAGTCGATTACGATCAAACGAGCAAGAACTGCTTTACGCAGCCGTAATCATCGTCGAGAACAATTTTCCAGTTTAACCTTCCCCCGGGCCAGGGACCGTGAAACCGCGGACCGTTGCCAACCGTTACCGTCAGTCCTCTCGGCCGCGGTGGCCCGTCTGCCCAAAGGTTCCTTGACTTTTCAGACACGCCGTCTGTTTGCGTTCGCGATCCGAGACTCGATCGAAGCCGACTCGCCGGCACGGAGTAACGAACTCGTCAATGAACGGCCACGTGATAATGAAACAGGACAATACGCCGCCGGATGTTCCCACCCACCACCGTTTATATCGACGGGGCTACGTCGATACTGCTAATTAAACGCTAATTCCCGGTGCCGTCTCATTTAGCGAATTTTTTTTTCGTCGCGGACTCCGCCGCGCCGCGTCGGAAGCTGTCGAAATTCGTGAGAATGGAATGCGCGGTAATCGATGCGGCACGCTGACATGCTCCTTGGGGAACGGGGACTTTGGGAATTATTTCGAGTCACCGGTTTTCGATTTGAGTTACGAATTGTCAAGTTTTTGAACTTCTACTTTCAAGACTTATATGTGAAGTCTCAAAGCGAAATAGCAAATTTTCAAATATCGAATATTGAATATCAAACGTCAAATGGCAAATGGCAAATGGCAAATGGCAAATGTCAAGTGTCAAATGTCAAATGTCAAATGTCAAATATCAAATATCAAATATCAAATATCAAATATCAAATATCAAATATCAAATATAAGACATCAAACATCAAACATCAAACATCAAATATCAAATATCAAATATCAAATATCAAATATCAAATATCAAATATCAAGTATCAAGTATCAAGTATCAAATATCAAATATCAAATATCAAACATCAAACATGAAATTTCAAACATATTAACTCGAGACTTCAAATTACAATTCCAAACGCTGAACCTCGAAACCTGAACCAGAAATAATTCAGCGGTGAAAGGAAGTTTCAGCGAAACGTCCGCAGTTCCTGTTCCTCCCGCGGTGAAAAGGAAAAGGGTCCGAGGAGGTTCCCCCTCGAAAATCACGAACCCTTCACGGGTCCCCTTGATCTCGCCGCCGGACGAAAGAACAGATAACTCATTTCGCGAGTCCGGGGCGGCTCGGAGCGTAGGCAGGCCGCGGCGCTCGCCTATTTATGTCCTTAAGCGAGGACGAATCACGCGAAAACGAGTGGGCCGAGGAGAGAACGATCGCGGACGGAACGGGAAGCCGTAGCCGGACAATGAGCCGCGCGCTAATGAAACGCGACAGCCGGCGCAAAGTCACGTCCGATCCTATGGCGTTAAACGGCCGGCAGACGAGTCGCAGGTTCTTCGACGCTGACAGCCCGACTGACGTCCCGACCGGTTTCCGCGCTTTCGTGTCACGCCGCTGAGCAACGATTTTCGGTGACTCCGGACATCGCCTGCCCGCTCCGTGCCCAACAGGAATTCCGACCCGTTTCGTGGGTCGGTTTCGAGGGCAGCGGATTCCTCGACAATGCTAACAGTGATTGACGATCGAAGAAATTGCGGTACGGTGAATTCTAGAGATCAAGTGCCAGATCAATTTTGGTAGTCTACGGAGTGAAAAAGAGTTGACAACGATTGGATCGATTTGATTGATTATCGAGAATGATGGATTTTCGAGTGCTTTGATATGTTTGAAGAGATATTGATGCGTTCGATCTAATTTGTTCAGTTCAGACAGCTATTCAGCTGGTAGCTATTAATTTTACGAATTATCGAGATTTATCTAGGCACTGTAGTCGCGAGAGCAGCTCAAGTGAATGACAATTGACTGGCGCTTAATTGCTTCCTGCGGTACAATGAATCCTGTTCGGTCGTACGAAGAATAGACTCAGTCATAAAATGGTCACGTAAATCTACCGGCACAACAGGACATTCGCTAATGAAGAAAAGTCCATTCGCGTCTCGGAAGAATCTGCTACTGTAAAGATTCGTTGGAACGTTTTATTACTGAAAGATTAGTCTACTTGCTATTTGCTAGAAAGGTAGTGCTCGAGCGACAGTCCTCTCACCTGCTAAATCAGCTTTCGACATCCAACCTGGACTCGAATAACATGTCTGATCTTTGCTCGCTGTTTCTACTGATCGCAATCTCTGTTATACCGAGACCTCGATTAACGGGGGCACGTTTGATCATCTGACACAATGAACTACATATAAAACAAGAACTTTCTACAAACACCCGAAACTCATAAAACATTCAGAAACCTTATGCTTCA